GCTGAAATTCAGATTTAACTGAGTGGTCTGCATTTCATCCGTCAACCCTGTTTCAGATCTGGCCATTCAGCCTGGAGGGGAAGAGCCACAGGCTGGGAGTCAGGGCTGTGGCGAGAGTGTAAGATGCCTTTGGGTGAATTAGGAGAAGATGCTCCTACAGATGGACAAATTACAGAAAGATGCCCTCTGGGCTGTTCCCTTTCCCTCCGGAAGGACTATAAGAACAAGGTGCCCCTTTTGCACCGACTGATTAGGGAAAGGTGCCCTTTCCTTAAAGCTCACTTGGCCCCTGCCCTTTGTGCAGGGCACACTCACCAGAACTGGACACAGCATCCCTGATAAGAGTCAGAAGACCTGGATTCTAGTCTTAGCTCTGCTGCTAGTGGCTGGGTGACCTTGGGTGAGTGTTTTTCTTTCGTATATTTCCTTTCTGTGAAGTAGGGGAAATGGGATCCAATCTAATAATCTACAAGAAAATTCTAGGCACAGGAAATCACGGATGTGAAAGAACTTTGACAAGTAAAATACTTTGTGCAAATGACCGTTGACACTATTTGCCCATAGGAGATCTGGAACAGCCCCTTGACATTACCTAGTCCAGTCGCTTTGTTCTATAGTCCAGGAAGCTGAGGCCCTGAGAAGGTGCGTGACTTGCCCGGAGACACACAGCAAGCTGATGACAAGAGTTGGAGTGAGAACTCTTGGTCCAGTGTACCCTCTCTTCCACTAGGTGTCCCCACAGGCTTGGAAGGGCCCAGAAGTCCCTCCTCCCCTTGGACCTCTCCTAGCACTGGCTTGACCAGCAACGCAGCTTCAGTCCTTCCCCAAGTGTGCATCTATCTCAGTAGACCCCTCTCCAGACCTGTCTGGAGAGGGATCATATAGGGGAAGGTTTTAGGAAAGCTCACGGCAGGATGATCATAAGGCAGAAGGAGGTGGGGTGCCCAGCCGACCCGGAGACCTTGCAAACCCGTGTCCAGAGACAGGGATGGGGTAGTGGCTAAGACGAGATCTAGCGGAGAAAACGGACCTGGGCAAGCAGGATGTTTTGAGCACATAGGAGCTCCTGGCTGCCTTGGGGACGAGGATGGGCAGGGTTTGCGGGAAACCCACAGGGGCTTGTGAAAGCTGCTTAACTCCTTACACGAGGCCACGCTGGGTTGAGTGACTGTGCTGTGTACCTGTCATTTGTCCTCCTGAAGATGGTCTGTACTCTACAGGCTTCGATAAAACGTTTTGTTCCCCTCTATCCAGTGGGCAGAACTTGTGATATGTTGTCAACAGTTTGGTGGGCAGGGGTCTTTAAAGAAGAAACGGGGTGCCTGCCTGGCTCATTAGGTAAGGGTCCGACTTCGGCTCAGGTCATGGTCTTGCAGTTCGTGGGTTCGAGCCCTGCGTGGGGCTCTGTGCTAAGAGCTCAGGGCCTGGAGCCTGCTTTGGATTCTATGTCTCCCTCTCTCTCTGCCCCTCCCCTGCTAACGCTCTGTCTCTTTCTCTCTCTCTCAGAAATAAAATAAACATTAAAACAATTTAAGGAAGAGAGCCCCCTTGTGGCTAGAGAAAGGAGCCTTCTATTTGGGTACAGGGAAGGTGGACTTGTGGACCAAGACTCCTTTTGCATAGTAATTCACTAAATTGTGATCTACTTAGGTTGATGGGCTGAGTCTCCTGTGTTGCAGGAGTGCAAATAATAAAAACCCAACCGTGGTGGCTTCACCAATTTTTTTTTTAAACCTCTCATGTAACAGCATGAGATATTGGTTCAGTGACTCAGTGGTAATGCACCTGGTAAAGTTGTGATTAACTTATTTCCACAAGGTCACAAGATGGCTGCTGTAGCTCCAGGCGTCTCAGTTAAGGCAAGGAAATGGAGGAAAAGGAGACTTCATCAGTCTCTGGCCCTCTTAACTAGGAAAGCAGAAACCACGGCAGAAGCCTTCTAGTTGACTTGAGTCGTGTCATGTGGCTCTCTCCTAGCTGCAAAGGAGACAGGGAGAGAAAGTATGTCTAGTCTCTGTGGTGGATGCAAACCGGGGAGAAGTAGGTTGGCAGGGAGTAGGTTGGCCAGCAACCAGCCTCTGACACATTCTTTTTGGGTTAAGCATAGCCATTGTTTCTTTACTCCAAGCCAGGCTGTCTGGAGCGCTTTGCAGCCTCCATTCCATTCTCCATGGCAGCCTCAAGATGCCGTGGGCTTGGCAAGGAGTGCAAAGCAGGAGACTGCTGGGTCAATATGTGCACCTTCTGGTGGATGAGTCTCCCGCCCCCCGCCCCCCCCAATATGAGATCCCTGGATTGGAGGGATCTCAGAGAGGGCATATGCATGGCCAGCTATGCATGTCCTTAGGGGGCCCTGCTGGGACACAACTGGACTCACCCTGTCCCCACTCTCATGCCTCAGACCTCTTCCACCTGTTCCTCTGTGGGCTCTGCTGGGAGCCGGGTGCAACCCTGTTCTTAGAGGTCGATGCCTCAGTCTCCCATTTCCAATATGCACTGCCCCCCACATGACAGCTGCTTCTGACACCGGTGTGGGAAGACTGGAAAAGGATGTGCACAGCAGGATGATTGCAGGCCACGCTCCCGAGGCCGGGGGAGGAAGGGCTCCCAGCTCTCCTGAGCTCTCCTGGTGCTATGAACGGTCTATGCATCTATCGCCCGTCCTGCTCCCCAGGCTCTTCCTGGGCGAGTTTTATTCCCTGCTTCCCCTCCATGGGGGCGGTCTCTGGGATTTTCCCTGCCTTGTCCTATACCCGTCTTCCCCCAACAAGTCAACTTATCCCTGTGAGATATTCTGCGTGAGTTCTGCAGATTCAGACCTCCTCCTGCCCTTTCTGGAGCGCTCATTATACTGGGGCTGAGCCCTGGAGGAGAGGGGTAGGCAACAGACACATACATCATGTGCTAATAGTAATAGCTGCCCCCTTCTTAGCACTTAGTAAGTACCAGCCCCCTTTATAAAATATTCATTTTTGAAAATTGTGGTAAAATACACATAACATAAAATTTACCATCTGAACCATTTTAAGTGCACAGCTGAGTGGCATTAAGTACATTCACATAGTTGTGCTACCATCACCACCATCCATGGCCAGAACACTTTCAACTTCCCAAACGGAAGCTCTGTACCCATTACAAAACATTCCCCATTTCCCCCTCCCCCCAGTCCCTGGCAACCACTGAGCTCCTTTCTACCTTGTGTGTGTGGAATTCTAGGCCCCATGTATAAGTGGAATCACTCAGTATTTGTCTTTTTGTGACTGGTTTATTTCACCAAGCCTGTCTTTCAAGGTTCATCAATGTTGTAGCAGGTCTCAGAATTTCCTTCCTTTTTCAGGCTGAATAATATTCTATTGCATGTGTGTACATCTGTATATGTATGTGTATTGTATATGTATGTGTTTGTTTATTCATGCGTCCATCAGTGGACACATAGATCACTTCTACCTTTTGGCTGTTGTGAATAATACTACTGTGAGACCGGCCACTTTAAAAAAAAACATGTAAAGCTCATTTAGTTCTCACAACAGCCCCATGTGGATGGTATTGCTTTTAATTCTCATGTGACAGGTGGGGAAACTGAGGAAAAGAGGTGCAAAGACTTGCTCAAATCACACAGCTGCAGAGAAACTGAACCAGGCTTGTGAGTGCAGGCAGTGTAGCTCAGGAGCCTAAGAGCTTCCCCTGTAACCCACACTGTCATCTCACAGAGTGTCAGGGGAACGTGGAGCTGGGCCTAGGGGAATTCCAGGAAGGCTTCTTCCTGGAGGTCACTTTTGAGCTGGGTTTTAAGAGTGGGTCGTTCACTAATGTGGGTGTTCACTGAGAGGAGAAGGGCTAGCCACTTCCAGCAGAGGAAAACCCTTGTGTGATGTGACTCAAAATACAAGGACCTGTGCCCGGTTCACAGGCATGGCCCCTGGGGGCCTGTAGTGGTACAAATAAGGAAACAGAAGATGCAGGCTGCTAGTTACAGAATCTCAGGAGATTCCCCTCTCCCCACGCCTCCACCCTACCATGTTATGGGAATAAACACCATCCTAGGCCAAGCCAGACTTGGAGAGAAGCTTCCACAAGGACTCTATAGGCTCTACAAGCACATCAACTTTCCAACCTCAAGACTGTAACACCCCACATCCTTGAGGAGGGGTGGAGCTGGAGGTGGTGGGTGGAGTGGGGACAAGGAAGAAAAAACACAGTAATGAGAGCTGTGGCTGTTGCCATTTTTGCCCTAAAGCGCAGACCCATCTTGCCCTAGGACGTTCCGGGCAAGTGGTGATCCTTTGACTCCTTTGGAAACTCTGACCAGTACAGCCATCTTGCTATTCCATGTTAATTTCAAAACCCCCAGCTCTCCTTTTTCTCCCCAGAGGTCTGAAAAAGCCCAAGGTCAAGAGAATCAGCTGTTTACCACAGGTATTTTAATTTGCTGATCAAGGCAGGGAAGGAGCAAAGGTTGGATATTCTGGTCATCTCAGCTTAAATCAGCTTAAATGTCAGCCCTGAGGCCATGGGGGAGTTTCCCTAGGCTACAGACTTTCCTTATAGGAAATGATATTGAGACTTAAAGTTGTGCACAGGCACGGAGATAGAATTGGCCAGGAGTGAGGGTGGTGGGGGTGGGGGTGGGGACCAAGGTCTGCAGAATACGAGCTCTGCGCAACGTGCACATCTGGGCACATGGATGGGTGTGTTGTGTGTATAGTAACTCTCTGCGATGGAAGGGTGCCATGATTTGAGATCCTAATAAAAAGAAGCAAGGGTGTAGAAATATGCCATTTTGAAACAAAACAACACGAGTCTGCTAAAGACCATTAGTTGTCCTCCCGCCTCCATTGTACCCACCATTCCTTTCACAGTAATAGAGGTTTTTGGCTGGGCACATAGCTGCCACATCCAAGACTACATTTCCCAGCCTCCTTTGCAGCCAGACGTGATCAAGCAAGTGAATTATGACCTTACGGATATAAGCTGAGTATTCTGTGCTTAGACGTGGTACATACGGACTATTTGCTTTTTATTCTTACATCCTTTACTTGAAATATGGAAGCTGCCATCTTGGGCTATGAGGTCAAGGCCATGTATACACGCTGGAGAAAGAAGAGAGAAGGAAACTGGGAATCTAATAATATGTAGCACCACATGATCCCTGGACTTCTGTGGGAGACAAACAAAATTTGCTTTTGTTTAAACCACCGATGTTGTTCTTCTTATTGTTATTGTTTTGTCAGGAATACCACAGAGGTGGTGTTGTACCTCTTTCAGTGCATAAGGAGGTACATGATGTCCCATTTGTCCCATTGCTGGTGATGGTGACTCTGATCACTTGGGTAGTGTTGTGTCAGCCAACTTTCTTTACTGGAAAGTGACAATTTCCCCTCCTTGTAATTCACAAATATCTTACGGAGAGGCCCTTTGACATTATTACATAAATGTCCTGTTCCTCATCAAACTCTTACCTGGTAGTTGTAGCATTCATGACGATTCTTGCCTGGATGATTATGCTAGTTGTCAAATGGTGCTTTGCTAGTTCCGTCAGTCTTTCTACATTTAGTAGTTGACAAATGTGAGGAGGACTTTGCTTGCTTTCTTCCTTCTTCCCTCCTTAGTTCCTTCCTTCCTTCTTTCCTCCTTCCCTGCGTCCCCGGCTTTTGCCCTCTGCCTGGATGGCCCTGCTGCACAGACCTGTACAGATGATAAGACCCATCATCCCGGGCAGTAAGGAGGTCTGGCACACTTTGGGCTGAGCCAAAGGTAAATCTCACCAGGGTTGTGGCTGTCCCACTTAATCTTGCAGGGGCCTGGCTGGGGCTGGGTCTTTCCTCCACCTCCAGTCTCATGTTGGTGGCTATGTGAAGTAGAGTTGGGGAGGTAGCCAATGAGGTGGGGATGTATGTAGAGAGTGTATAGATGCACTATTCCTTCATGTTGTCAAGGACAATGACCTGGGATGGACTCCTGGTCCTGACCTCTGGGAACGGTGGTCAGACAGCTGAGAAGGACTAAGGAGCACATCATTAGAAGGACTTTTGGGGTGTGGCTCAGTCAGTTAAGCGTATGACTCTTGGTATGGGTTCAGGTCATGATCTTGTGGTGTGTGGGATCAAGTCCTGCATTGGGCTCTGCATTCACAGAGTGGAGCCTGCTTGGGATTCTCTCTCCATCTCCCTCTCTGCCCTACCCCCCATACCCCCCCGACCCCCCGTTCTCATGTGTGTGTGCTGTCTCTTAATAAATAAACATTAAAAAAAAAAAAAAGGACTTTTTGGCGCCTGGGTGGCTCAGTCGGTTAAACTTCTCCGACTTCAGCTCAGGTCATGATCTCGCAGTCTGTAGGTTCAGGCCCCGTGTTGGGCTCTGTGCCGACAGCTCAGAGCCTGGAGTGTGTTTCAGATTCTGTGTCTCCCTCTCTCTTTGTCCCTCCCCGCCTCAAGCTCTGTCTCTCTCTGTCTCAAAAATAAATAAACGTTAAAAAAAAAAATTAAAAAAATAAAAAGGACTTTCACAATGTCCTTCGAACCCAGCTGGCCCAGACATGTTGTATCTGTTGGATCCATGCTCCACTTCTATTCTCGGCAGCCCCCCTGACCCAGGTCAATGCCCTGTCCTGCCCTGCTCTAAGGAGGCCAACGTTGGAGGGGGATCCATACAGTCAGTCCCCTCCCTGGAGGATCTTGGAGGAGGCAGCACCTGAACCCCAACTCCCCCAGCACTATGCAGCAGGCCTCTTCCAAGGCCCATACCACACCTGCTGGGCCCCATGCCAGAACCCGGCAGGGCACTAGTCAGAATCCAGGGACCCCATAAACTCCTGTGGTCAGACTGACACAAATGCAGGAACTCACGGACTCCGATGCTGAGAGCCACCACTGGACGGTGATGTGTATGATTTTACCATGCATATGCATGTATGCACACACATGTCACAGAGCCCTCTCTGTGTTATGAGGTAAGGCCATCTAAATTGTCCCTCTAATGTAATGTCTGCTAAATTCTCCTGCACTCCACTTTCTTCCCTCCCTCCCTTCTGGACCTCAGGGGCACAGAATTAATAATACACCTTGGTGCACAACATCCTCTTATCATTGGTCTCTGCAAGGCCATCTTTTATTAAACTAATAAATCAATGAAAACAGTGGAGCAAACGCTTGTGAAACAAATGCCCTAAAGACACCCCGAACATCGACAATTACTTATACTTACCCATGCAGTTCTCCCCTACCCTATGGCCCTTCCTCCCCTCCAGAAGCAATGGCTGTTCTGAGCCAGGTGGTCTCCACTCCCTTGCTCTTTTTACAAAAAGACTTTACTGAAACATTATATCCCTACAAATTATGGTTTTCTGGTTTAAGTTGTTTTACGTTTACACAAAGATATGCTGTATGTCGTTAACTTTCTCACTCACAGTTCCATTGCTCAGCTCCATCGAATCTCTGAGTAGGTGAAGCAACGACAGCGGATCGATTGCTGGTGAGGCCAATGCTCAGTGCTCACCTGGGCTAATGCTGGTTTTAGGCCAGCCTGTGGCACGGAGAAATCGTATTTGCTGGTACTGGGGTCATGCTCTGTACCTCTGGTGGATTTAACGGGTACGTTTTATGAAACTTGGAAATGCATATTTTTATTTGTAAATGATTATAGATATTTGTAATGATTGAGTCCTTATTTTGATGGCAGCTGAGTAAAACGCTTGGTGCTCAATTACTGGCAGTCTCATTAGGGGAAAGAAGGCACTAAGCGGGGGGAGGGACTTGTCCTTTGATTTCAGCACCGAGTAGGCAGAGTCCTGGGCCTCCTTGCCCCACGAAGTCCAGGCCAGCAGAGGTCTTTCCTCCGTGAGCCCAGGAGCCAGCTGTGGTGCTGTGGGTGGCCCTCTCCGGGCCACCTCGCTGTGCGTTTTCTCCTCCAGAAACCTCTCCCATCTCCCGCTTCCAGAAGCTAGCACGAAGGACGCTCCTCCCCTTCATCCCGCCCTCCCGGCCCGCGGGCTCCGGCGAAGGGGAGGAGCTCTCCCGGCTGCGGTGACACCGTCGCCACGGCAACGCGGCCATACTGGCCCCAACGGACCGGGGGGCCTGGGCTGTGGCGGCCGCGGCCTCGTGGGCAGAGCCGGCGGCATGGACAGCCTCTTCGTGGAGGAGGTGGCCGCCTCCCTGGTTCGGGAGTTCCTCAGCAGAAAGGTGGGTCGCGCCGCCTCCGCCGCTCGGGGCCGCTGCTCCAGGGTCGGGGTGCAGGCTGGGGGTGCCCCTGCAAGCCGCGCACTTCTCGGGCCTCCCCTGCCGCCGCCTGCCCCGGGGATGCCCGACCGGAGCGCCGCTTTCCCGGGCCTGCCGAGACTACATTTCCCAGGAGCCACTGCGGCCCCCGCCCTGCGGACGCATCTGTCCCTCCGGCGGGGGGACGTGGCGCGGGGCACTGGGGACGGGGGACGGGGTCGACGGCGGCCGGGGGCCTACTGAAGCACAGCCGCCTGGTCGCGCCCCTCTGCCCCCCGAGCGCGGCCCCGTGGCTCCTCCCGGCACCTCCATCGCACCGGGAAGGAACGTCCCCCAGAGGGAACCCCAGGGGCAGAAACGCGTTCCCGATAGGTGTACCCTTCAGTCGTGCTCCAAGGTTGCAGCCTAGTTGTTTTGCACTTCCATTGTGTTGCACTGGGAGACTTTTCAGAGTGCTCAAAAGTTGGGGAAGTCCTTAGCCGTCCTCCGCAAATGGAGGTGGGGACACCGTGCGAAAGAGGTCGCTGGAGGTTACTGCCTATGCAGTACTTACTACGTACTGAGTACATAGGGACAGCACCTAGTCCTCACTATAACTCTATACAGTGACCCACGGCTTGTCACTCAACGTATCGTGTGGAGCAGGGGCCATGGGCAGTTCTTTGGATTAAACATACTATAAACAAAATCATTTTTTTAAGATTTATTTTACAACTTGGGAAATCAAGAGTCACATGCTTCTCCAACTGAGCCAGCCAGGTGCCCCAACAAAATAATTTTTTGAGTGGAAAAGGGGAAGGGCTGTGGAATGAGGTGGAGCAATTCAAGTACCAGCAACTGGTTAGCAGTGTGAGCTTGGGTGTGTTACTCCCTGCCTCAGTTTCCTTATCTGTAAAACAAGACTAGTAAGAGTTACTTTTTACAGATTTATGATGAGGATGAATAATAACATATGGGCGGGGGATGTAGGTCGCTTAGTAGGTTAAGCATCTGACTTAGGCTCAGGTCATCATCTTGCGGTCTGTGAGTATGAGCCCTGTGTCAGGCTCTGGGCTGACAGCTCAGAGCCTGGAACCTGCTTCAGATTCTGTGTCTCCTTCTCTCTCTGGCCCTCCCCCACTCGCACTCTGTCTCTCTCAAAAATAAAAACATTAAAAAAAAAAAAGATATAGGCAGTCCCCAGGCATTGTATCTGATACATAGAAGGTACCTGTATTCAGCAACGTCTTCACTCCCGTTTCTCATATGCACCTGTTTTGAAAGTCTTTCTTTGATTTTTACAAACATTTTTTTAATTAAAAAATTAAAAAACATTAAGTGCAATGTGGCTTCATTGTATTTGCTCTGTTTTTACGGTTAATTGACCTTCCGTCACCAAGTCCTGGCTGCACATTGGATATCAGTGATGCACCTTGTGAGGCTGTCCATTATCATTTCTTTTTTAATTTTTAAAAAAGTTTTATTTAATTATTTTGAAAGTGAGAGTGCTGGCCAGGGAGAAGGGCAGAGAGAGAGAGGGAGAGAGAGCATCCCAAGCAGGTTATCAGTGCAGAGCCCGATGCAGGGCTCGAACTCACAAACCCAATCAGGATCATGACCTGAGCCCAAACCAAGAGCTAGATGCTTAACTGACTGAGCCACTCAGGTGCCCCCATCATTTCTTTTAAGTCTGGGCCACCAAGCAGAACTCTCAGAGAGTTTTCCTCATGGCTTCCTCTCTTGAGTACACATGAAATCCAAAGTCCTCACTGAGACTGGAGGCTCCCCCATACCTGACCCCAGCTTAGCACCCCAGCATTGATTCTAGCCTCTCTCACATGCTTTCCCCCGTTCCACCCATGCCCTACCCCAAGTCTGCTTCCCGCAGGAAGTCTCCTGGGATAACTCCTGCTGGAATAACTGACTTACCTTGTCTGTGGCTCATTGGCACTCACGTTATAGTTTATACATCAGTAGTTTATACATCTGTTTATACATCTCACCCACTAGAACAGTCCACAGAGTTGATGCCTGATCTGGGTGGAAACTTGGCAGTCATCTCGTGCACTCGGCCTCTTCTCCCTCCCATTTTTTTTCCAAGTAGGCTTCACACACAGCTCAGAGCCCAGCATGGGGCCTGAACTCACGATCCTGATATCAAGGGCTGAGCTGAGAGCAAGGATTGGATGCTTAAGCAACTGAGCCACCTAGACGCTTCTGTCTCTTATTTTTATTTTTTTAAATCTGGGCACACTAAAGCTCTGACATGAGAAAGGAGTTGCCCATAGTCACTCAGAGCGTTGTGGCGGTGCCTGGGTGACTCAGTCAGTTAAGTGTCTGATTTCAACTCAGGTCATGATCTCTCAGGTCTGCTGGTAGTGCAGAGCCTGCTTGGGATTCTCGCTCTCTCCTCTCTCTCTGCCCCTGCCCCGCTCATGCTTTCTCTCTCTCTCTCAAAATACATAAACAAGCTTTTTTTTTTTTTTTTTTTTTTTAAAGACAAGAAAGTTGTATAGAGCTGGGACTGCAGTCTAGATCTGCTGTTACCCTCCTCACCTTCTGCTCCAGAGCAGACACCAGGCACTCCCCTCCGGGCTTGGCACCAGGCAGGTATAGCCTAGAGAGTTCCCATCGTGGTGTGAGGTAGCTTTTAGTTGCCTGTTTGTTTTCTCAGATCCTCTTAGCAGCCCTGGAAGGCAGGAGTCCCTGTTCCCTTTCACGTAAAACGATCCTGAGACCGGGGGTGAGGAAACTTGCCCAGGGTGCGCAAGTTAGGTCTTGTCACACTCCTCTACTCCAAACACCCTCCATGGGTTTCTTACTTCAAGCAAAATAAAAGCAGACGAAAGCCTCACCAGGGCCCGCAAGGCTCTCTACGACCCTGCTGCAGGCTGTGCCTCCGCCCTCACCTCCCACCCCTGCCTCGTCTGCCCCCTACCCTACGTTGAACCCAGCTACACTGGCCCCTCCAAGCGTGGTTGGCCCCTGGGGGGTGGGGAGGGTCATGATTGTCTCCTGCGATGTCAGGGCCTTCCAAGGTGACTCTTCTGGTGCCCTAGCGTCCGTCTCCTGCAGTGACTGCCGGTCCTACCTCTGCCACCCTTTCCCAAGAGGTCACGGCCGAGGCCTGTTGTTCCCAGCGGTGCACCCTTTCCATAATCTGTCGGGGCGTTCTGTCATCCTCACTTGCCACTCACCTCCCTTGACAGCCCTGCGTAAACTGGCCTTCAGTCTCACTTCCAACCGCGTTCCATAGTTCCTGCCAGCCTTCCCCGCCCCCACCCCCACCCTGCCGCGACCTCTCCCCACTTCTTACCCACCCTTCGTAGTCACACCCTCAACCACACGCTCACCTCCTTTGCCCTTCTCTTCTTTCATCGCGGCCCCCCACGCCACCCTGAGTTTTCAAATTCAGCTTGGCTTCTTCCATGCCTGCCCTGCGGAGCTGAGTGGGGCTGGAGGGAAACACACCACCGTGTCCACGTTTTCACGGCCCGTCACCCCCCCGAGGCATGCATGGCCGCCTGGTCAGCCGTCTCCGGTCCTGTCCCTCTCTCTGCTCTTGGATGACTGTTTCATGCCTTCTGTCTCCTCCAGTCCCAAAGCTCCTTTCCCGTTTTCATGTCACCGAGGAAGCAGAAGGGGTCTTGAGGAAACCACAGTTGCTAAACTTCCTGGGCCTGAGCCATCACTCGGGCCTCCGTCCTTCGGTTTTAAGGGAATTCTCCCTCCCCCTGGGAAAGGCCACCCCCTCCCCGCGTACCTGTCCCTGCTAGCCCGCCCAAGGGCACTGCTGTTCTCCCCTCTCTTTGTTGCATCTACATTTTGCCTTCTCCACTGTCGCTCCTATGGAATCCCATCCTGACCCCCAAGTGTCTCCAGCAATTGGCCCACTTTTCTTCTCTCTTCTCTAACCAAACCCCATGAAAGAGCTATGTGAGCTCTGATTCTCATCCTGCTTCCTGCTAGCTCTCCCCCACTCTAATCAGGCTTCTGTCCCGGCCGATCCTTGGAAACAACTCGTGTCAAGTTTGCCAGCGATCTTCAATTTTCAGGCCTCGCACCTCTCGATCTAACATTGTGTTTGGACAATTGATTGTATCCTCCCTCCTGGACACTCATTCTGTGAGGCTTCTGGAGACCACCTCCTCCCGCTTGGCCCCCTCTTCCTCTCTGATCCTTTGCTGGTCCCTCTCGTTCCCTGGAGCTGTGTGTGCCGGGGACTCAAAGACTCAATCTTCTTGGCTTCACTCATTTTCCAGGAGCCTCTGCCGGTCTACTGGACCACAGTGCTGTCAATAGGCTGATCATTCCCAAATGCCTATCTCTGCCCAGACCTCTCCCAGAACTCTTACATTCTTTCCCACTAACGATTTTACATTTCCACTTGGATAGCCAATAACTATCTGGAATGTCCCAAGCCTATTTCCTGATTCCCTCTATGTCTTGTGGTTTTCCCCATTTCTTTCTGGTTGCCTGGGCCCACACCTTTGCAATCACTCCTGGCTTTTTTCCTTCTCGTGTACCCCACATCCAGTGCATCAGCCCGTCTGTTGGCTTTAGTGTCAGAGCACATAGAACACATAGCCACTTCTTTCCACTTCTCTTGCAGCAGCCTGGTCTGAGCCACCTCCATCTTGCATGTGAATTGTTCAGCAGCATCCTAACTAGTTTCTGCTTAATCCCTTGTCTCCAAAGCTCTGTTCTCAACCTAGCAGCCAGTGATCCTTTAAAAATACAAGTCAGTCCAGGGGCGCCTGGGTGGCTTAGTCGGTTAAGCATCCAACTTTTGCTTAAGTCATGATCTCGCAGT